TGCTTTCACGGTAAAATTTGAGGACCATCCACACAAGAGCTCCATAGAGGAAAATGTGTGGCCACGCCAAGCGAAAGGGATCTTAAACAAGCAGGGTGGTTGGAGAGCAGCTCCCCCCATTTGCAAAAATTATTCCCCACCCTCGCAGTGGGGTTGTTAGAGTTTAAAGTAGATGTTGTCCTCGCCCGACTGGAAGCTGACTTTAGCGACCAACCGCCAAGTACCCCTGCAGTGCCGAACCGCAGAGTATCTCTGCAGTGCCTGCAGCGCTCAACCACTAAGTATCCTCGCAGTGCCCAACCGCAAAGTATCCCTGCAGTGCCCAACTCCAGAGTATCCCTGCAGGGCCCAACCGAGAAGTATCCCTGCAGTGCCCAACCGCAGAGTATCCCTGGAGTGCCCAACAGCAGAGTCAATATTCTTGCAGCGCATTTGCAGTGCTGCAAGGAAGACAGTTGACGGGGGGCAGGGAAGGTTACACTTCTTGTGCACTAACGGCTTTAGGGTGGGGATGCACTTCGAGCATCGAACAACCCCACTGCGAGGGTGGGGAAAAAGTTCCACGTAACATTCCTTTACTGAAAAGGAAGTGATGACATGTTTTCTTTACGGCAAGCATGGAGTGCCCTCACCGGGGGGGGAGGGGGAGTTAACGGTGGACAGATATAAAGCATGATCACAACTGAGGAAAATGGTGAAACAATCAGACATTGATGATAACACAACAATTCAAAATCAAGCGAGCATGCCAGATCATGAAAATGATGATGATGATGATGAGATAAACTTAAATCATGAATACTGCCGAAAAAAAAAAAAGAAACTTATGAAAGTAGTGGAAAATGAAGGAATCTAACGGCTAACGAGAGATGATGAAAATTATCAAATGATGGAAGATAATGATGGTGAGATGGAAAGCATCGAAATTGATAAAGATTATCAGATAGGATGCAATATGATAAAGTATAACGAGCTATGATGAACTATGCTGAAGACAGCAGTCAGTGCATGTTCAGATCTTCTCTCCTGCGATCACGGCCAAGACTCCATGAGGAGAGCTAGCATACTTGTGCGTGCATATCACTTTGACATACCTAGCCCACATTTTACAGGTCTCTATGCCCTGACACGGATCCCCTCAATGGAGACCCAGCTCCTCCCGACGCAGTGGCAGGATGCGTGTCACCTCTTCCTGCGCCTGGTTCCCATGCGTGATTTCAGCATGACATGCCTGGGTGCATCTGGTAGTGTATCCTACCTTTCTGACAAGACAATGGGGTCTCTGAGAAGGAGTGCTGAGCAAATGCGGGGTAGCAGCGGCTGCCTCGCGATCCCGACTGGAGCTGACCTGAAGACGGAGTGCATCTCTCGTGGCAGAAAGAGCCTAATTCCTCTCTTCTACCCAGACATTGGAAGCCAATTGCTTTGACACTCTGCAAGCTGCTGGCACTTGCCTCGGACCGCACTGGTGTCGCCACAGGGCGCGATGGCTCACGAATTGGCGCTTTCTCGGCTGCCTGCTTCATGATCTGGATTGCAGCTGCCCTCCACTTTGTGTGTTTCAGGCTGGCCACACATCATCTCATATCGCTTCCACTGCCGCAGCGGGAATAGAGGCTCACTACAACAAAAAAAGGCAACCCGCCTGCTGACCGGATTCCCTTGGCCTCTTGGCTGTGGCGAGGAATCGGGCACAAGATGGCACCTGCCGGCAGAAGGTTCAGGGATATGCTGCTTGTCCAGCTTCTGTGGGACATGCTCTAAAACCCCTCGCCACTTAGATTCCTGAATGCAACCCACAACACTGGCTTCATTGCTGTGCATTGCAAAGCTCCGGGACCCGGGCATCAGGGAGCTTTGCCCCACCCAGCTGCGCAACCCTGGCCTAACCAGGGGCCGTCATGAGTTCACTAATAGACATCTTGGCTTCACAGTAGTGTTCCTGAAACATCAACCTAGCAAGTCATTCTGATACCGTCTGAGCTGGCCCTGAGACAGTGTAAAAACAGCAGGGTCCCCGGAACGATCTGCATCCTCCCCCTTGCACCTGCAGCAATCCCAGTGGCTGCTGGCTTAGCTCCAGGAAGCGGTCCCACAGATCCTGTCACAGAGCATTGGCAAAACCTCACCTGGCTTCTCTCCTACGTAAACATTTCCAATATTTTGACCGCCTTAAGTTCCGACTTCTCCACGCAGCCAGCAAAATCCACGCCGTTGCGCTCCAGCAGGGTCTGGAAAGGCAATGACTTGGGCAAGCTATCCTCTGGGGACCCAACTCCGATACCTAGAGTCTGGAGCAGGCTCCCCGTGAAATTATGCTCTACAGCCCTAGATAAGCCAGTACTAAGCTTGAATCCAAAACAGTTGTTTGCTCGACTGTCACACCGTCACAATCAATTTTGAGGCTTTTGCTCTTGGAGGCATGCCTGCAGCTCTGCGTTGTCACTGCACTTCGGCAACGTAACAAGGAACTAGAACTAGGAAATGCAGGCTGGGAGCCCCTTTCAAGGCATGCCCAACGCTAAAGCAAACTGTCTGAGGCACTGAAGCTCCTACTTCTTGGGATGCCCCTTGAAGACAAAGTCGCCTATAGGTCAAGTGACCTCCATAAAGGCACCTTCAGGTGACGAAGGCGACAAAGGTCCCACAGAATGGCGGACAAAGGGTGAAGGCTTCTTGTACTTCCAATCTGACTCTGCCTTCTAGAATGCAATGTAGCCGTGCTCCCATGTTACTCGTGCATGGGATGCTGCAACCGCCGAATCGCAAGTCTTTACATGCCACACAGACCCTCAGTCCCCAACTGTCAACTGCAAATCCCTCATGCCAGCTCTCAGTCACTTTGGAAAAGCTGGCACCTCTGCTTCAAAGAAATAGGCAAGCTTCTTCCGCCACCATCTTTCCAGGATGCTCACCAAGCCCCAGGCAGCGTGGGAAGAGACACAGCTCATCGCTTCAGCATTTGGCACCACATACCACACTCATGCCTTATGTCAAGGTTCCGGGGAAAAACAGCTTTGGGAGAAGACTCAAAACGTCAAATATGGCCAAGAACGCGCATCTTCGGCTCAGTGTGGCAAGCTACTTTGGTGCGCTTGGTGGCGGCTTGCCAGACGCATGGTGGGCTGCCGGAGCCTGCACAGATTCAGAATCCCAGGGTCTTTGAGCGCTGTACCTACTCCTCATTTCTATTTCTGCAACCCTGGGTTGTAGCTTCTGGCGTAGAAGCAAAAAGCGCAAATCTTCTTTGGCTTTCACAACAGAGCGGTCCATACACTACCGACCCCAAATCCAACAATGCAGCCACAACATCTATCCAGCATCACGATGGGATCCTGCGGCGTACATAGCAAACGAGCATGAGTTAGCCTGTTACGCCTGCAACTCAATCATCTGATGCCGTCACCCCTCTGCTCAGCCACATGGCCGCCTTCGCATGCGCCGGCGCTGTTGGCTTTGGCGTTGTCGGCTTTGTTGTTGTCGGCTTGGGCGTTGGCTTTGCTCGATCCACCGGAGTGGCAGTCCAGTTGCCCAAGGATCGACCTCACCAGCAACGCAAAATGCGCATTGCCCAGACATCCTGGCCATCCTGAGCAGCCCACCTAGAAAGTTGATGGACTCCACAACCAGATGCGTCCTGCAATGTTCCATCAAGACATCAGCAGGAATACAAGAGTCTATTGCTGCACTGATGGGCCACCAGATGGCCTTCAACTTCCTGAGAAGCACGCCTTCTACGTTCCGGAGTTCATGGCTGAGAAAGCACTGCTATTGCACTCGCTTTTCGCAGCCATCGATTTCGGCTGACTCCCATGGACCCTCTCTGACAGACAAGACCAACAAAAATGTCCTGTTGATAGTCGCATCATAGAAACCATAGCCTCAGGCCATCTGCACTACTGCACTTATGGCCAACTGTCCAGAGCATGGCTCAAACAGGAAGCCTTGAGGACGACGTGAGCTTGGGGTCTATCAGCGAGTTTCCCTTGGGTTTGGAGCCAGAAACCATGGAATACGGCCAATCACGAGGTATTTGGGACCTCAAGCCCAAGTTTACAGACCTCAAGCGTATAGGCTTGGAGCCTCAGGAAGGTCCTGCGCATCAGATTTTTGGGCGGCATCTGGGAGTTTATCGTCTCGAGTGGGAGTTGCTGGTGCTCAGTGTCAGCGTAATCTTTGGAAGACTTTGCTGCAGGACATCTGGCAGGACAAGCAGCTGTTGCTGTTGTCCCCCTTGGGAGCTGCCTCGGACAGAATACCACCACCACCGCCTGAGATGCCCAAGAGAATGACGACGTGAGGTCCCCTGTAAACGTGATTTCAAAAGCCTGGTGGGCAAACCCTTGATACTGGCCAGTGCAACACATACCCTGACTCTACAGACAAGAAATCCTTGCCGCGGCGCCTGAGATGACGCAAAGCATTCCTGGCATGTGGGAACAACTCCATCACTCTTGCCGTGCCTAGTTGGTACACGTCGTCTGGTTGTTGAAAGCACCGCGGACCAACGTGGGGCAGGACTTTGCCTCCAATCGGATAAACCTCCTGGACATGGGTGTGCCCTGTGACCAGGAAGTCGAGTCCAAATTCGGCATGCCTCAGCAAACTAGATTCCACAACATCACCACCGGAAAGCTGCATGCAAACGCCAAGGGCCATCAGGGCAGATCATTGCGATGAGCGTTTGCTTTCCGGACTCTGCAATCTGTAGAATCCATTTGTCACATCCATCCATCCATCCGTCCATCCATCCATCCATCCATCCATCCATCCATCCATCCATCCCTAAACCGTCAACGCTACATGTCCCTAAAAACCCCCCTGAAGGGCTCCAAAGGTACACCCCTAGGTTATCACAGGAACTGTTGAAGGCAAGCTGCAGCTTGCTGTACCACTCGGGCTGGCAGGGGAGAAAGATGAGAAGATTGGGGTTCTCAAGAAATGGTACCGCTTTTGGGCCCTCCCATGCATGGGGATTGCAAGGATTCTGGGGGTCCCTCCTAGTGCTCTCTCTCGCTCGTGCCTACTTGCGATTGCATAGGTGTGATCTTCAGAAACATGCATATTAAAGCAAGGACACACTTGGCAGAGGCAAAGCACAAAAAGCAGACTTCCCTGCAACACGCATGCCTTGCAATGTGCAAGTCCTGAAGAATATGATGCAGCAACCTGGCCAGAATGCGGCCTGCCTGATGTCCGCATGGGAAGTGGGTCACCTCACCACAGCAGGTCCGGCGTTCAACAAAACGCTCTGAAAATTTGAGATCTTTGCCTCCAAGTGACAATCACCTGCCATCTAGCACGTGAAGCCTTCAGTTGCTTCTCAGCCCACGCCATCTGCTCCTGCTGAAAGCTCATACAGTAACAGTTGCCAATGTTCTTTAGTGTCAAGCTGTCTGTCAGTTGGTTCCACCAGACGTGTTGGTGAATATCCAGGTAGCTTCAGGCCCCTCAAGCCTGCATTGCGAATGCTGGAGTTGCGCTTTGAGAAGGAGAGACTTGATGCGACATGTGAAGGAGACGAATCCTTGCCAGCATTCACAGCTCTGTTACAACTTATCCCATAGTCACCAAATCACATTTAGAACCTTTTCATAATCCTTTGGACCTGATGATTTGGAAGGTTGAGAGTCTGAGAGGTAAAAAAGTTCACTGGCTGAAAGGCCGCTGTGCAGGTCCTGCCACAGCTTGGCGAAGTACACCGGACCTTGCAAAGGCTCAGGGAGCCCAGCTGTGTGCAGCATTTATTTAAACCAAGCATTCTGCAGAATTTGTTGACGTTATTCTTCTTTGGCTTAGGTACACTATGCCAATGAGTGCAGATCCAGCTGCTTAGACGGCCTTTCTCGCTTTCTTTCTTATCTTCACAATTAGGGCTGAGAAGGATGGGCAACGCCGTGCTTGGTCCGGGCAAAGTTGCTGATTTGCTTCGAGGTCTTCCCCCAGCCTATGCGATTTGTGCAGTTACACTTCGAGAATTTCAAGGCTAATTAATGCAACCGCTTCGTTTCAGACAGACATTGGGATGAGAATTGCCATGTGCAAAAAACTAGCTACACTGAGTTCCGCACAATCTTGCAGGGATGCCGGCCCCCCAACGCTGGCACAGTTTGCTCCAGGAGGATTATGCTGCGCCCCGCAAATGTTCCTTGGCTGCACTTGCCCGCAGGCCTGCCATTTTAGATGGACATGGCAGGCTGGAATGCTGCGCTTGTGGCATCAACTCGCTGCAAGCAAGTCTCGTCGTAGGTCGTGCAGCTGGGTCTACCGCATCCTGGAGAAGACTAAGTTGCGGCACAACGGTCTGAACTCATCCCTCTGGGCACCTCCGAGTTCGAATCCAGCAGCAGGATGTCTATCCCAAAATCTTGGTCTGGGAGTGAGACCTTGGCTTGCACAGGCAGCCCGGTGGCCACCAACTGCTAATCGTCCCAATTCCAAGGCAATCAGGAGGGGACATCCTTCTAGTATAGAACAAGACAAGTTTCCTGAGCCCATGCAACTAGACTCTCAAACGCTCCTGTCATTCAAAGACGAAGGGCATGCTGCTTCCAGAACTGTGCTGGCAGGCGCCACCTTGCACAATCCACTGCGAAACTTCGTGAAAACCTGTGCCCTTTCGTGTAGGCTTTGTGGGGAGGCCCCAAATGTCAAAGCATGCGTCGTTGTTCAGTCGGTGGTATAGGACATGCTTCAGATTAGAACTAAACAACACGTGTGTGAGAACAACGCTGGCACTGGCCGGCCTCTGGTCGTGCCAGGTGAACGCAATCCTTAGCCCACATGCAAAGCAGGATCACCGAACTCCACGCATTGGCACAAGGACCATAGCATCATAACGTCGTGTTCACGTCAAATGGTTGCACTCAAGGGCTGCCAGAGCAGAATGCATTGCAATCACAGGCATGCATACGTATATCAAGGCCAGGCATGTCGTAGCTTTGAACTTCTAAGATCTCCTCACCAGCATCTCAGCTGAATCTGAAGGAGATCCGATCAGCTTGACTCCAGCTTAATCCCAGCATTTGTCAACTAATTTGGCAAGGCTCTGCTGGTCCCAGCCTGATGTGAACATCCAGCCACCATAGTCATGGTTCCTCCACACCAGGCACATTCAATTTCAGCGAATGGAAGTAGATGTTCGCTCAGAGCATTGGATAGCCAGGGCTCCCTAGCACTGAAAGCCACACCACGGTGTTGAGCTCAGGGCTGTTGTAGACCTGCCTAAAGATGGTGTCGAACCTCACCGGCTGCACGCAAAAAGCGACAAAATTCATGCGGATGCGATTCAAGCGACAGAAAATTCATGCTTCCACGCAGCATGTGGGCCGTCGTCCAATGCACGCCCGCGATGGGCTGCGCTCCACACGAGATGGGGATACCACCCCAGTAGAAGTTATCGCCAACCTGGGTTGACTATGTTCCGGTGAGGCTAAATGGACTGGACTTTGTAAGCAAACTCAATCTGTCAAATTCTGATTCATGAACGCAACAGCTGGGAACTGAGGTCCAAACATTTAGCATGAACTTTGGTGGGGTCTTCTTTGCCCGTAGCCTCAGACATACAACTGCAATCACACATCGCGGTCAATCCAGTCAGGGTGCGTGAGGTGACGGAATGAAAGCGCTTAGCTCAACGCTTCATCTGCCCGGCCACTAAATACTGTGGTTCACGGTCCACAGTCTCATTGTATCCACATTGAGGGAGACAGCCATTGACTCCGTGGTTGTTGAAGCAAAGAGACCTGGGCATCAAGGCCCCTGTTCCCGTTGCTACTGCAATCCCGCGTGGAATCTTTGATGACCAAGCTGGCTAGGTCTGGCACATCTCTCCGTCGGTGCACCCGGAGGGTCTGTGGGCAAAGACATGTGGCCCAGGTAGCTCACCGCCCTGATACATAACCATCCTTCAGGGCACCCCTGATTGAGAATGGACAGCAATACACGCACCGCCGCACAGGCGGCAGGCGTCCTTTCACCCGTCGGGGGGTCGATGTACCCATCGAGACCGCCCCAGTCACCTCAAGTTAGCTGTGCAAGCATCACAGTCTGCTTGGAATTGGCTTACCCGCTATGCTCAAGCTGTGCTGAGATGTCCACCAATGATGAAAAAATGCATCTGCTCGGTCCCAGGCACTGTCCTTAGTGGAATGAAATGGATATGACATTCAAAACCACACCAACTATTCAATTTTGTTTTGACAAGCAAGTGTGGTTGGCGCATGGTTAACCAGTGGTGCCAAGCTGCAGTGCGGGCCACTCTATGCCATTGTGTTGATTCACTTTCTGGGGGATCGGCGGAACAGCATACTTCCTTGGTGACATGCTGCAACTCCATTGAGTGACCAAGCACATCGAAGTTTTCATGCGAGTACCCTTGAAGGAAGCCCATAACCTCACATAGCCCCATTACCCTCATACGAGCCTGGTATGAGCCTATATGGCGGTACCCACCTGGTAACTACACACCTGGGGATGTCCTCGAGGAGGGGGTTGCAGATATCTCTAAATCTGACACGCGGCTGCTGCAGTCGTGTCTCTTGCCGCCCCTCATTTCTGCTAACCTCATCAGGGCGGCCGCTGGCACTGCCAGAACTGCTCATACGTGGCATCAGTTGAAACGCTCGAATGAGATGCAGAGAGGCATGACCACGGGAGAGGCACTGAACTGCATCCAGCCACGTGGGTAGCAAGGAAAAGGTACAGCACCAGACCAAGCCCACATAACGCCGGCGCCACATAGGCTAATCGCCTCAAAGAGCCACATGCACAGACGATTTTAGCAGCAGAATCCCTGCAGAATCCTAAGCTCAAAAGCTGAAACCCTTGCCGCTTGGGCCTAACTTTGGACGCCGGACGTACCAGCTCGCGGCCTGACCAGAAAACAAACACCGCCCGAACCAGGAGACCACATGTTAACATGGATTTGGCTTCTTTTGGCACTTCCGCCTAGACATTACCAAGCATCGAGCTTTGTCTGCAACAGCCCGCCTTCCCGCACATCTTCGAGTAGCAACCGCTCCTCCTGCCATGCAAACACACGCCAATGTAAATCAACGAGCAGATTCACAAGCCCCGACATGCAGGCTCAAGGAGGGGTGAGACGCCATGGATGTTGAGGGTGGGTGGGGGACAGCTGCGCAGGCACAAGCAACTGCAGGGTCACTTGTCCTACAGAATCATTAGACATGTTCGCTGAGGGGGCGTTCCGGTGCTTCCTTTACTCCAATATCTTGGCTAGGACCTAGGAATCACATCCACAGCACGCAAGAAGCAGAAGAATTCCCAGGCAACCTAGCACCAACTGAAACGAAACCGCCGAAATTTCCTGCAGTCCCCTCATGTTGATCTCAAACAGTCCTCTTGGCTGCCCATCTCCTCAGGGGACGGCATGGCCCACCTGGTAGCAGCCACTGTGCCAGCTTACCACCATCACCCCCTACATCGCCACGCGTCAAGACTAATTGAGCAGTGCTTTCCAGAGGGACGGGATGCTAGTGCGTGATCGTTCCTGCCATGGTCAAAAGGTCGCAAACCTACGCGGACATCTAAGGTCGGGATCCCTAGCAGTCGTGCTCTGGCCCATGCTGCAGTTGAAGGGTTACCAGTACCGCATTTGAAGAACCTGGGAAAAATGCATGGCGCGTGCTTTGTTAGACGTGCACCGCTTGCTAGCTACGTGTCAACAGTGGTTCCCATCTCCAGTGATGACGGAGAAGCACCAAAGTCTTCCAAGGTGCTGACAGATGCGGGTGCCAGCACGAAGCAGCAGAAACCAACAGAAGTGGCTTGCTGATTCTTGTTGAGGCTGGATTGGCTGGTTAATGCTGGTTGCAGGTTCAGCTGATGCGATGCCAAGGCGAGTCATGAGTCCTCTCCAATTTGAATATGCGTATGCTGGAAGCTGAGGTCATCCATGCAAACTTGGCTTCAAATACAGCTGCGGTAGAAATCCTCCTGTTTGCAAGCTTGCAAACCTCCACGTCTTCACCAAGGCTTGTACCTTCAGCTCCTTGACGCTGCCAGCAGCATTGGGACTCGCACGGGCGCTTGCCTTCTGAAAGGATGTCGGCTTGGACCGTGCTGAGACGAGGAAGCTCCGGCAACCAATGCTTGCCACTACGACAGAAAGACACTTGAAGGCTCTCCAAAGATGTGCAGACGGCCTTGCCTGGTCCAAGTTTCTGCTTGGCCTTGGAAGGGGTAAACACGACTGCCAGGCTGCAAGTTCTTGCTCTCGCTGTGAAAACCAGCTCTTGTACATTAAGGTCAGCGACAGAAGTCGAATCGAGTCTCACGGCGCTATCGTGGTGCAATAGCTGTCCACTTGCTCAAAAGAATTCTTCGTGGCAAGAAGGGTGGTTCGTTCACAAAGCCTCTGCTCCAAAGGAACATACCCAGCTCTTTTTTTCAGGTCAGAGGATATACAGAACACATGGCTGAGGTTGTTGCCCGGCGGGCTGCGCGGGCCGCTCAGCCTCAGCAGCGCAAGGGGGCTATCACCGTTTACGGCCGACTTTTGTTCTCAAACTGCTTTCCTCAAACGAGAGGACAACCCTCAAAAAGCGTACCTGCATTGCGACTACAAGCAACATTTGGCTGCACTTGTTGTGGGCTGGCGCAAGGGGACAAAGAGCATCCCTCCTCCCCAGCCCAACTTGCAAGTCACCCGTCCCAGCCCCGGCCATTGGGCCGAACACATCCGAACACATCTGAGCTCGGAAATTCCCGCATGCGCCGGGCACCCCAATTCTTGTATGAGTACATGTCGAAGGCGCAAGCATTGTGAGGGTTATATGCATGCGCCAGACATTAACCCTTCCTATACTCTATTGCAAACATACCAACCCTCAGAGCCTACTCCAGACCGCTGCAGTCACATCAAACTTCGGCTGGCACGTGGAATCCCCAGGGCCGCCCGTCAACCAATGCAGAACGTCATCTCAAAATCTTTCCGCAAGTAAAAACCTTTGATTGCAAAGGCGGAGCATCTGACGAATCCCCACGTAAACGCTAGTCACATCATGTCTCCGCAAAGGTTGTCAGCAGGTGTCTAGGCGGCAGTTTGCGGACAAGTTCCCCTGTGAAACGTTGACATTTCATGATCGTCCGTGGGACAAGGTGAAAGTCAGTGGAAGCTTGGATGTTTGAGGCCATTTTGAATTCATCGCTTCCTCGGGTGCTTACTCAGGATGGGACGCCCACATGACCTTGTACTTGAGCAAGATCAAGCACAAAGCCTTCGGGCGCTTCTCAGCAGATGACAGCGCCGTTCCGGGTTTGCGCTTTGCACATGACGCCATACAAATGCCATGTGCGCCTGCTAAACCACGACCAAGCTTCAATTGATTCTAACTTGATTTCAATTGATTTTAGTGTGTGTTTTTTTGCCGGCGATGGAGGGGGCTTCCTCCCCCCGAGCACTGCTCCGCGCCCAAAGTGCGCATGTCTGGGGTCGGGACTCCAGAGGACCGAGACCCGAAGAATTCCCGGTCGTTACCCCTACCACTAAAACCTCCAACATCTCCACAGAACCTATTTTTTTCAAGATGGAGGCTACCGACCCGGATTTCGGGATTCTTTTTCTTTCTGTCTTTCTTTCGTTCACGCTATGGAGAAGAGCCCAAGCTCCTCCGCGGGCGTCACTGCCCAGCCCGTGTTGGGCTGTTAGGTAGGACCATACCCCTCAAGTTTCAGGATTGGGCTTGACACTGCTCAGGGTATTACTGGATATGAGAATAGCTACGCAAACGCTGCCCAACCAAAGAAACTGCGTCAACTCCTGCGGACGGTATCTCTGCATGGTGGAGGACTAGAAGGTGGCGTAGAAGGTGAACTGCTGGCTGAATTGCAATCGTGATAGATAAGGCAATATTTGGATTTGGTAGGGTGAGTGAAGTCAACCAACATGTATAGTGCACTATGCAGTTCAATCCTTGTTGTTAGCCTTGGCAGAAGGTGAACTCATGGAAAAGGATTGGTTACTCGACCTGTGGGATTGCTCTCGGTTGTGAAAATACGTTGACAAATTGGCAGGTTGCTGGGCTGTGGCACGCTTGTTGCCTAGCTTTCTCAGTTGCGCCACCATGGTTTTTAGTTTTGCTGGGGGGTAACTGCGAAAAACAGCTTATGGATGGTTGGCTACTCCCCTCTTCTTAACCATGGTGGCTTTTTGGCAACCTCTGCGCTTGTACTTGCCCAGGCAAACCAGGTTGTCACCACGTGTGTGCCGCTTCATCATTCGAGGGGTTAACTGTGAAAAACAACTTATGGAGGATGACATGTTACCCCTTGATTGGCGAAACTAGTTGGCACCGGTGTGACTGCTGGCTATCCTGTGCTTTTTTGAAGCTAAAGAGGTGATTTGGCATTATTACTACCCATCCATTTTAAGTTAGCCAGTAATGACTCAGCATTGTCTCAGTTGGCAACGTGCACTCCCCAATACCCACCATAGCTGCTGGAGCATCGGCTGCGTGGCTCTGCTGCGTGTGGGCTGCCGGTTCTTGTGTGTTGGCTGTCGCATGACGATCGTCATTCTCTGTTTGCATGGTATGGTCTGTCAGCGGCAGTGGCTTGGGCTCTGATGCCTCGGCTGCGGTGCTAGTTGTGGTTGCTTCTTGTTGTGCCGATTCTTGACTCTATTGTTATTACGTCGTTGTGGTGTGGCTCGTCAGGTGATGTTGTGTGGAAGGATGTCATGATCCTGGTTGTGAGGGTTTGTACGTGGGTGGTGAGGGATTGAGCCACCTGTAGAGCAAGCTCTGTTTCCTCCCGCGTTGGTGGTGGTAGTGGAGGTGGGCCCATGGGTTGCCTTGCTGTGGTTGTTGATGGTGGTTGGGGTTGGGAGTCGAGCTGGTACTGCAGCAAATCCCTCAACAACGGGAGGCCATGCTGAAGGGCTGT